GTGGCCATCGCGGGTTAAAGGCTCGCACAGTTGGCAAGGCCAGGCAGGGCCGAAGCCAAGGGACGCGCAGAAGTCAGCAGTGTTAGCAGAAGCCTGGAATAAGCACAGCACCCTGGAAAGGAAGTTTCACTTGTGCACTTTGTGTGTGTGTGTGTGTGTGTGTGTGTGTGTGTGTGTCTCTCTCTCTCTCTCCTTCCCTTTCTTCTTCCTCTCCCCACCTTCTTTTTCTTCTTCCTCACCATGATTTTAACAATTGTTGAACACAGCAGACTAAGGTGAGAAGACTCTGCCCAGCCACTGAGCTCTCTAGGGACCCCGCCCTTCATGCCCAGGTAGACACTTTGGAATGGCGTTTGCTAAGACATGGATGTTTGAAGTCTCTTTCAATTTTTCTTCATTGAAAGTGTTAGGAATTTACCTCCATCTTTTAATAAATTGCATAAAATTGGCTAAAACTGAATATCGACTTCCAAAAGCTGGTCTTTTGTGCTGGAGTCAACTCATACTCATTCACAGGAGTCAATATCAAAGCCCAGCATGGTGGTGCATGTCTGGACTGTACCACCAGGGGCACCCTGGGAGGCTAGGATTGCAGGATTGCAAATGCAAGGCCAGCATGGACAACTTAGACTCTGTCTCAAAATAAGATCTTTAAAAAGGGCTGGGAGTATAGCTCAGTGGTAGAACTTGCCTAGCATGGGGAACACCTTGGATTCAATCCCAGTGTGGGTGGAGGAGGGATGTTGCTGGCTTTGGAATTCTTCATACTGGTAGCGTTTGTACCATGGAAATTGGCAAACACTGTCAATCAAGGCTACCTTCTCCCCTAGAGCTGACACACTCACTAGCACACCAGTGACAAGTGAATTTGACCATTGGAGAGCATTTCCATTTGCTAATGAGATCAACTTTGTCTTTCCTTTTCCAAATTCATATCCCATCTGAAAAGATTTGGGAATGCTTAAAGATTATGGATTGCTTAGGGTTTTTTGTACTTTTATGTTTGTTTGCTTTTTCTGAGACAGGCCAAGATGGCCTTGAATGCACTGTGCAGCACAGGCTAGTCTCGAGTTGGAAGGGATCCACTGCCTCACTCTCTCAAGTGCTGGAAAGATAGGCATGTGCCACCTCACCAGGCTTGCTAGATTTTTACAGTAAAATTGCCTCAAAATAACGTACGAAGTTCCCATGTTTTGGCTTTGCTTCTATTTTAGCTTGGCCTTTCTCTAAAATTTAAATTCCAGCTTAATTTGGTCAACTAGCCCAGAATATTTCATACTCATTCCTGACATCGGATTTTGCTTCTTTATGTGCTCCCTCTTAGACCTTGGGTCCCTTCCCTTCTACATACCCAGTCATTTGCATTCTTCAGAGCCTGACCCCTCTCTCATGACTCTAGTCCAGTCGTGCCACAGCAGGCTCTTTGTTAGCACTGAACGCTATAAAAGCTTCACTATTGCTTCTCTAGTCTATGATTGCTTTTTCCCTATAATTTCCTTAGCACTTTTCTCTTCTACCTGTCTTAATTGTCCAGTATGCCACCTTGGAATTCTGCTTTCCACTTTTCTGTGTGATCCCTTGTCTACTCAAATAGCATATTCTCTTCTTTTTCTTCTTTTCTTTTCTTCTTCTTCTTCTTTTTTTTTCCTATACTGGAAATCGAACTCAGGACTTTGCACTTGCGAGGCAGGCAGCACAACCACCGAGCTAAATCCCTGGCCCTCAAAGAGCATATTCTCTTGTAGAGCAAAGACTCTGTATTGCAGAAGATGGTACATATCTGCCTTTGGCTTGCGGCACAGTACTGTTACAGTACACACAATAAGAGCTACAGATGACAGCGCTCGGTTCTCTCCATGTGAATCTGTGGAAGGTTTCGGCTAACCCAGGCCTCAACTCTCAGAGATTCTAATCGGGTTGGTTTGGATTCTGACAACATTGTGTTATAAAAGTTCCTACAAGTGTACTTACTTCATTACTACCAGTTCAGAAGCTCTGGGTAATTTAATATCCAAGCGTGATTGAGAACCATGACTCAAAAGGCATGAGTAAAGAGAAGAAGTAGATCATTATTTTAACACTTTTTTTACAACCCAAGGTTGATCCAGCTAACCGAGATATACCACTATGGCTTCTAACTCTATTTGATCATAGCTCCTTAAGGAGAAGGAATAAGTCATGTTTGTAGCAACACCCCGTCCACCCCAATGTCTGGAGCAAGCAGATCTACCCATTTAGAGTCTTCCTACCTCAGCAACTCTGCTGTTAAAACCTTCTAGACCTCAGATTATATGTATGACCAAATAGGAATGCTGTTCTTTGTTTTAAAGCTGCATTTTTAATAATAAAACAAAGCTGCTTTACAAAGATGTATAAAGAAAGAAGAAGCAGAATAATACACTTTCTATTTGCTTCCATTTCTCCTCTATGAATGAGAATAATACTGAGACTGCAAACGACTGAACACAAATCTTAGTAGGGGAGATAGTGAGTGTCTAGCAGCTTTAAAATGTGTTCAAGTCCAGATGCATTACATCTAAGACAATTAAAACAATTTGCAGCTGTTATTGCAGCTGCTCATGTCCTGGGGAAAAAAAAATCAGAGAGAATGGGAAAACTGCCAGAAGATCAGAGCTAAGCAAGTGCCTCAGATTTTAGAAAGGAGGAGGAGTTTATAATCTAGAGCCAGATGAGTTTGACTTTCATATCTAGCAACATGCTAAAATATATTCTTTTTTTGTTGTTGTTTGTTTTTGTTTTTTTGAGACAGGGTCTCACTATGTAGTTGAGACTGACTTGAAACTCACTGTACAGTGCAGGCTGGTCTCGAACTCACAGTGATCCTCCTGCCTCAGCCTCCCAAGTGCTGGGATTACAGGCGTGCACCACCACGCCTGGCCTAAAATATATTCTTTTTTTGTTGTTGTTTGTTTTTGTTTTTTTGAGACAGGGTCTCACTATGTAGTTGAGACTGACTTGAAACTCACTGTACAGTGCAGGCTGGTCTCGAACTCACAGTGATCCTCCTGCCTCAGCCTCCCAAGTGCTGGGATTACAGGCGTGCACCACCACGCCTGGCCTAAAATATATTCTTAACTCAATTATTTGTATGCATTTAGTAAAGAAAGAGCCACCTACCATAGACCAGCATGAGGTCGCCAAAACTAATTCCTGACAACATTTTTCATGTAGTTATTCTGTTAGAAAGAAGGTAGACAGAAATTACATTGCAGGCAAAGTTTGAATACCAGTCAGGATTGATTCCGAAAAAAGAATACAAAGTGTTGAGTTCCTGCTATGTGTACCATAATAGGGCCTGGGGATAAAATGTCTAACAAGACAGCCTTTTCCGCCTCCTCATTACATGATCATGCACTATATCATAACTTCTCAAGAAACAGGTCTGAAAGTGCCTTTCCACTCACCTCGGACATCCCACATGGAGGGCAAGTTCAAGCCCTGTCCCTGGTATTCTCCATACATCTGTCAGGACCACCTCTTTCCTTGATACCCACCCAAGGCTGCTGCTACAAACTGTACCTGTGCCACTTCTATGGCCTGTGCCTCCAAAGTCACCTTTGTATGGAAAATTTTCTGTGCTAAGAGCTACCCACAACTTTTAACTTTTGGCTCTAAGAATGACCCTTGCACACCTACAACCTTGGGATTTCATTATCCTCTGTGTTACTACCTTCAGCCATTGTTTTTAAGGAGCTTCGCTGAATAACCTCAGTCCAGGCCTTGGCCCCTTGCCTTCCTCCTTTTGTTTCCTTGCTTGCCTTCCACAGTCTTCCAAGAAATTTCACTAAATAATCCTGAATCTAGTGCACCCCCCACCATGTTCGGACAAATTGTTTTGCCTTGAGAAATCCCAGAACTGGTCCCATCTCAGATCATAACAGACTTCACTTCAGCATCACAACACTCTGAAACCCCTCCTTGCCCTTGAAATCTTAATTTACAGCTTTCCCTTAAATATGCGCAGTATTGCGACTTTGCTGAAGAAGCTTGCATTCCGATGTAACCTGGGTTTGTGCGTGACTGTTCCACGAAACTGCTTCTCACAGTGGTCAGTACCATCCTCCAGGTTGGCAAGCACAATGGACACATTCCAGTTTAATTATTGCTTTATCTCTCTGCAGCAGTTGTCATTGTTGACCATTTCCTTCTTTTTGAAATTCTCTTCAGCCTTAAGCTCCAAGATTTTCCTCATGAATGACTGACTCTTCCTTTTGACTTTTCTTGTCTCTCTCTACCAGCCACTTAAAAATTGATCTTTAACCAAGATTTTACCCTCAGAGCTTTACTTATCTCACTCCTCAAGCTCTCCCTTGAGTAATCTCATCCCCACACAAACTTCAGCTAACTTGGGTGATGACCTCTGACCTCTAGGCTCACATCTCTGCTTGCGTATGCTGTCTGCTTAGACTTCAAACTGACCAAACTCACCTCATCATTTTCCTTGTCCTCAATGCCTCGAAAAAATTGAGGAGAAAATTTTCTTTTATGAACCTCAATTACCTGGCCTCTCTATTTGGCTTCACCTTTCTACACCCACTTTGATTCTGACAACATGTGACTCTGATGTAAAATAATAGAATATTAAGTTCACGCTTGGCAAATAAAGAATAAAAACTCCACCCTCAAACAGTGATCAAAAATCAAGCTATCATTTTTTTTTTAGATTCTTACCATTATTTTAAAAACAAAATTATGGATTGCTAATTACTGTACTTTGATCATTTTAGAACATACATGTATTGAAACATCACATTGTACCCCATAAGTACGTGGAATTATTCTGTGTCAGTTAAAAGTAAACTCTAATATATCATAAGTACCATTTAAAAATGCAATTAGAAAGGTGGCTCTAATCATATGCAGTTGCCACTCCATAATTGTATTTTTTCAATGAGCAAAGCCTCCATTCTGCATTTGAGCTGACATATAAAATTCTGGGAATTCACGTGTTCTGTTTAGAAAGGGATTTTGTGAGCAAGTCTTGCACTCTGAAATTTACTAAGTTCCCCTTGCCTTGGCAGGTTACATGTTGAAACAATATAAGCTTCTATGTTTAGAGAGAGAGAGAAAATCTTTATAATTGCCTATTGTTTTTTCTGTGAATACAGGTGAACTTGTCATTGGGGGTTCCCCTCTCTCTCTTTCCTGAGTGAGGCTAAAGTCTTCACTGATAAGGTCAGAATTTTTTGCCTGCTGTGAATCCTCAGATGTAGGCTGCCACCACTAAAATGAAGTCATAAAACAGAAATCCCAAAACAAGCCTGCATAAACCAAAGACTCATGCACCCAGCATATGCACAGAGGACAAGCCTATTATTTCACACCTGGTGCTCTACCAGTGGAGATTTGGGAAGCACAGAAACAGTCATTCTGATGAAGCACTATTACTGGTTGGCATTCAGGAAGTTTGCTGCAAACCCTAACTTCCCTGTATAAAATACCCACCCACCTAACATTCTTTTTTAGTATGAAATCTTCTAATAGCAAATCTCTAATTACATTTCTTATTTTCATTTTTTTTCTTCCAGGAACATTGTTGACTTCTCATGTATAAGAGTGCCAGTGCATCTGTCTCCATTAGCATTGTCAGGCGGGTTTTATAAAATCATATTACAAAATGTGGGTCAGTGATCACTGAGTCGTGTAATTTATCAAGACAATACCCAGATGCACTGTTGGACATTCCTTGCAAGGGGATGCAATCTACTGGGATAAACAACTCTGCAATGCCTTCCATTCTTCAGAAGCAAAGGCCATTTACGACTAAGGGGAAAAATCAATATCCAGAGTTCCACTCTCAAATATTTAATGTCCCAATGTTTTATAAGGTAATATATCAGTGAAAGCTGACAGGATACTTCCATTTGATAATACACCATCTCTTCAGCTTGAACGTCTAATTATTTCTCCAAATTCAGATTTTGAGAACCAAAAAGGACTTTGTCTCTTAGCCCAAACCCCTGGTTTTCTAGGACAGTGGATATACACCAAAGTTCAAGTAGTTTGTCCAACAATTGGTGATAAAGTCTAGAGTTAAATTTATCCTGCTCGCAAATTCAATAAATACCAAGTTCAGCTCTTTTTCATTTTCACATATTTCATTATGTCTATTTCATTCATTTTGACTTTAGAATAGAATTAATTTCCTAATGCCTATATTGCCTATATGCCTATATTGTCAACAGTTTTTAGCACCTGTTGTATAATAGGTACTAGAAAGAAAAAAGCACATCTCCCTGTGTACTGCCAAAGCAGGACTTTTATGAGTGATGGGAGAGAGTGGATGTAGTGACTCACACTTGTAATCCCAGCTTTAGTAGGCTCAGGCAGAAGGATCTGAAGCCAACCTGGACAACTTAGAAAGAATCTGTCTCAAAATTTTAAAAAGTGGGTGGAGTCTGAGGCTGTAGCACAGTGGTAGAGCACCCCAGATTCCATCTTCAGTACCACTATAATAATAATTATAGTAATAGTGATAATAATTATAATAGTAATAACAATAATGAGTTTTTAAAAGAGTAAAAGGAGGTAGGATGCAAATACTCCCCCATTTTATCTCTGACAGCTTCTTCTCAATCTTTCTCAATAGCGTCTCTCCCTCTGTTACCTCTTAAGATTTGCTTCTCTTCTTTCCTGTCTTCTTGCACGACACCAGCCAGTCTCCTTTGTGACATCATTGTCCACATGACCTTGGCTGTAAAGGACCTTGATTACTCAGAAGTTTGTCTCCCGAGTTCTGGTCCTCTAATACCATAAGTCTTTACATCGCTTACTGGACACCTCATAGGTTTCTTAAGATCAGCACATCTGGACCCAGGGATCTAGCTCAGTGGTGCCACTACCTGCCTTGCAAACACAAGGTCCTGAGTTCAACCCCAAGTACCAAAAAAAAAGATCAACACATCTGTAAATGATGAAGGCAGGGAACCCACACCTCTTACTGGGGTCCTATTGAAAGGAAGAGTAATAGCTCCATTATACAAGTGCCCTCTTTGTCACTTGAAGTATCTGCTTTTTCTAGCAGTGTAAACTTCTTGGATGCAGGTCTTAGTCCTGTCATCTACATAGCCTCAACTTTCACCATATGACATGGGACCTAGTTATCAAATGAATAAGTAAGACCATTTTCTATGTGTCACCCAGACCAAATTCTGAGTTTCCTTAGAAGATACACTCTATGTCCAATAACCTCATAAGCCCTAAATAGTTTATATTCTTAAATTTTTCTCAAAACCATACTTTACTCCATATCAAAATAGTGCTCTGATGTAGGTTCAGTTATTTCTTGCTGGAGCTACTGTCATGTATGCTAAATGTTCTCCCCGCTTCCAGTATAGTGCTTTCCCACTCGCTGTTACACATGGAATGTTTTCAAATTCAACTCAGAGTCTATTTATTCATTGCTAAAGTCTCCTAAGGTCCTCCATTACTCAGGGGAAGAAGTATGATGTAACATGATCTCATTCCTACATACGTATTCGATCCTTGCTCATTTCCAGCTTTGCAACTCACATTTCATCCACACTTCTCACATTTCCTTTTGTATGTGGTGCTTATTTTCTCCAGAGTGCCCCAATAACCTTCTACTTCAGCTTTCAGCTACAAACTTATTTCATGATTTCCCCCAGCCAAACTTCAAAGCTCCTTCTTGACAGTCCCAACTGTGCTTTATACATATTTTTGTTATGGCATTTGTAACATTGAAATTCTTGTATCTTTCCCTTAGTAGACAATGAATCTACTTAGAGGTAGGGGCTATCTTTTCTACTGTGTATTCTCAGCTCTTCACAAAGTTCCTGACACATAAAAGGTATTTAGTAAATAGTAAGTACCATGTAACAATACACAGCCTGTACAAAATCCCAAAGTGTCAAAATTTCTCCCAAATGTGTTTTAAATCAAATTTTTATTTCAGTTTTTTATCTACTTTTGAATATGACTTATACCTTTAAGGTATAAAGGGCATGAAAAAATTAATGGAAAAAGAAAATGGTCAAAAGACAGGGCTAAATATACACTCAAATCTAGCTTTCCATTTGGAGAAGAGTAAGCAGAGAGAAACAATGAAAAGAAGAAAGGTATATGTGAGTTAATGCCAGAATAGCCTACTTCTCCTCATGTCTTCCATGATGATTTTCATTGTCATTTTTCTGGCCTCTTTTGTGTCTTATAACTAATTAATCTCTTTCTTTACACTTGTTACAGAGAAGCCAAATCCATGGATAATCTATAACACTTCATTTTAGTTTGCAGTTCTAATGTTTCTCATCAAGTTATAAGACGTGACCTAGGGAGAGCCTAATACAGTCACTGTAACTTCTCTGTTATTAGTCAGCTTGCCATTGCTGCAACCAAATACCAGACACAAACAACTCAAAGGAGAAAACATTTATTTTGGCTCATGGGTTCAGACATTTGAGTCCATAGTTAGGTGGCTCCAAGGCAGAAATAACATGGCAGAAGAGCTTGGTGGACAAAGCTACTCGCCTTGTGAGAGCCAAGAAACAGAGAAAGAAGAGTCAGAAAAGAATGAGCTAGAGACCAGTTATAGTCACATTGCTATGATCCACTTCCTTCAACTAGGCCCAAACTCCTTTTACCATCACTTCCCAATAATGCCATCAAATAATGAATCTGTCAATGGATAAGTCTACCAATGAAGACCCCACTAGGCCTCACTTCTGAACATTGTTTCATTGGGTACAAAGCCTTTAATACAAAAGTCTCTGGTGGATATTTCATATTTAAACCATAACAGAAGTATAGCTCCTCTGTCCCTCCATTACCATCCCCTTTAAAAATGACTTTAAGCAAGGAAGCTTCAGCAACCTATATCATCAGCTCTTGACCAAAGTTATGGCTTAGACCTAGAATATTGCCCAGAAGTGCCATGTATTCAAGGGAGGGCTTTTAGAAGGTGATTAGATTATGGGACTGCTATACTTATCAGTGGACTGATCCATTGATCAGTTCATAGTTAAATGTGCTGTTAGGAGGTGGTACCTGGTTGAAAGAGTTGTATAACTTGGGGAAAGCCTTTACAGGGTGTATTTCCCTCTCCGACTCCTCCCTTCTCTACTTCCTGGCTTCCATGAGGTAAGCAGCTTTCCTCCAACAGGCCCTTACATTGCAATGTTTCTGCCTTGAAGCCAGACAACTATGTACTGAACCTCTGAAACTCTGAGCCAAAATAAACCCTTCTGTCCTTTAAACTGCAGGTGTTAAGGGGTTTTTTTCCCCCAGTGACAAGTGAATAATACAGAAAACTGGTACCAGAGAAAAGCAGCCATTGCTGTAACTACCTGACTATGTAGTTTAGAAGCCTTTGAAACTGGTTTTCAGGAGGAGTGTGGAAAGCATTGGAGATGAAGGCTAGAGAAGCTTTAATACACTGTAGAAAGAGCTTGATGAGTGATCCTCATTGGCACTCAGACAATTATAATGCTGATTCGAATGCAAACAGTTAAGGCCAAGCTTGGTAGGTTTCAGGTGGTCAGTTGGACTAGAGGTCATAGATACTATACTCTGGCATGAAATTTGTCAATATTTTGCCCTGAAACCTGCAAAGGACTAATATTAAGGGCAGAGAACCAGTTAATCTGATGGAGGAAATTTTAAAACAACCCAATATTTAGGCTATTATATAAGTATTGCTGGCTGCTCTTGACCACATTTAGAGTGAGACTCCAGGGAACAGGCAGAGCAGAAAAAAATTAAAAATTTAAGTTTTGACCCAGAAGGAATCATGTATAAATTGGGGGCCAAAAAAGGCTGACTGTTGAAGAGATAAGCACCATTAAAAAGGAGCCAAGTACTTTGCATCAAGAGGTCTTCACAGCACCTCAGGAAATGGCAAGTCCCAGCATGGCAGGCTCACGGGTGAGAGGTATGAAGCTTTTATTTGAGAATACAGCCCCTTGAACAACTGTTCAACCAAGATCACCTAGGGAATTGGTTCTCCAGGACTCATTTCACCAGAATTTCAGAGGACACTACAGCCATGATCTAAGGGGAGTCCTGCCTAAGCCCAAGCTGGTGGCAGACATCGGCGTTGTACACACCATGCTGGTATTACTGGCACACAGAATACAAGAGTTGCTGTATCATAAAGACTTCCACCAAGATTTAAAATTAAGGCCTACAGGTCCCTAAAAGGGAAGTGCATGAAGTTATGGGAATAAAGCCAAAGGTGCAGTGGAGACCCCAGGAAGTCAGAGATCCCAGGAATGTGGAATGCCTTCTGAGGAAAACTGCAGTCTGTGAGCAGTGTCAGCCTAAAAGAAAGGCCATGTGGGCGGCAACCAGCAAGGCCAGAGTGATGAGGCCACCCGAACCATCTGTAAATCACGTCTCACCATCATGTGTCCCAGATGGCAGAGATAGAGCTATAGGACTTAATGTTTGCACTGCCGGTTTGTCTTACTTTGCTCTGATTTTCTTCTGCTCCTGGTTCCTCCTTTCTGGGATGAGAATGTTTGCCCTGTGCCACTATACCTTCAGGTTGTGTAATTTTTTATTTTGAGATGGCTCACAGCTAAGAGTCTGCCTTGAGTATCAAAGGAAACTTTGGACTTGGACTTTTAGCACTGCAAAAACTGTTAATACTTTGACAACTCAGAGTTAGATTAAATACATTTTAGACAAAGAAAGGAACATGAGCCTTTTAGGAGCCAAGACTTGAATGTTATGGTTTAGCTCTACAATGT